AAATCAATAATAATTGTTATTATCTTCATCATCATCATCATCATCATCATCATCATCATCATCATCATCATCATCATCATCATCATCATCATTTTATCAACATCATCATCATCATCTTTACCAACACATCATTATCATAATTATTATCACCACCACCACCATCATCATCATCATCATCCACAATAACAACAACAATAATCACCACCATTATTATTATTATCATTATATTAATGAAAATAATAATAATTATTATTATATTATTATATTAATAATAATTTTTATTATTATTGTTGGTGTTGTTTTTGCACGAAATAACCCCTTGGGACAACTACAGATGTTCTACACTAACACCACGGAAAGAAAACAAAACATTTGAATAAAATGAGATTGCATATGATACGTAATATACAGCGTATTGTCCGCATACATGTTGACGATTAACATTAAGCTTTCATTTAATGAGCATTTTACAGACTACTGTTGTCGACCGCTTCTATTTGAATACAATCGATTAAAAATGATTAAAGAAGACATGTCTAACAATTTATTAACAAAAATCCATTAATGTTACGACAATAATTGTGGTTGCGCTTAAAAATGATATATATAAATTAAAGTCATCTGATATATATATATATATATATCATATCATATCATATATCATTTATTTCGTAGATAAAAAGTTTAAAATACAACGAAAAACAGGAATACAAAATTAAAAAAGAAACATGCTCATAATATATACTGTACAGTGAGCGATTGGATGCAGTGGTTGGATTTCAGCTTTTCAGCTAGAGGTCGAGGTTCAATCTTTCAATGCACACTTTGCTTGCGCCATATATATGTAAAAAAAACTTTACTACGATTGTGTCTGTCAACCCAAGAGGGTATTACCAAGCAATGGTTTGAAAGTCAAATTGTTACTTTTTACGCAGCATAATTTTGGCCTGACTGCAAGCATACCGTTATACGAATTTCCGTGACCTTGACTTAAAGGTTTTCAACCAAAATTTTAATCACTTCTTTCTTAGATTATTATGTACTATACTGTACTAATTATATTATGATCCATTCCTTGGTTTTTGGAGTAATCTTGCTAACAGACACACAGGCAGACAGAGGTAATAAATGATAAGTTAGACCTATGGACATTTCAGGAGCTTAATTAATTTGCTCAGATCTGACGTGCCTTCGGCGTATATTGAATAACATAGCTTATTCAGTAGTCCTACATCACTGGTACATAAATGGATAGTTAGTTGTGTCTTTCCTTCCAATCTCAGGGTCCAGAGTTAAATTCATGTGAAAGGAGGGTTTTTGTTAAAATTAAACACAACTCTTCTTCCTATTCTGAGCCTTAGTTTAAAACATAAGTGGATACAGTGGAAGAGGAAGGCTGTATATTTCTACTGAACATGTTAAACAGAATAAATTTAACCCATCTAACTCAAAGGCATTACCGTATATACCCAGGCTGTGTTTTTAGAAACATTTAGTAGGTTTTATTTTTTTTATGTCTTAGTTTCATTTTACTTCTTCATACTCCATTTTAAATAAGCAGCGTATGCAGCTTAATGGACTTGGATTTCCACTGGGGTCCTTCCGTAGGTGTTAAATGAATACAGGTATATAATTCTTTAGTATATATGACCTTGTTAATCTGGTAGATGTATGAAATAACAACACAGTAGCACTTTATAGATTAACAAGAATTATTAAACCGTTAAAATGTAGGCCTACATAGGCGTACATTTTGTTATGTTTATACACTTGTTAAGTTTATACGTTACATTTTCTAGGCCTACATTGTTATGTTTATACGTCTGCTAAAATTTGTAAACTTATTAAAGTTTATTAGGCCTATATGTTATGTTCATGCTTTTGTTAAATTTATAATTTTGTTTAAACTGTTAAAGTTTCTACCAATGCTTTTCAGTTTTGTAGGATTTTGACATTATTTTAAACTAAATTATAATATAAAATGAATGTGTGCCACTGTTAAAAATGTGTATCCAATAGTACAACTGAAACGTGTTGTGAAATTACTAATGATGGAAGGAATAATGCCAATTACTGTATTCAAAAGAAAGAAATCATGCTCTTAATTTAGAATCGTACTAATAGACGCAGACAACGAAGAATACAAAAAACGTACAGAATGAATCTATTGTTGATAGATAATGATTATTTTGCTGTTTGATTTTGTCAATTTTGACGGTAGTAGCATCTGTTGGATAGAAGAGTAAAACTCCTAAGCCTATACAAACATTATATCTATGCTTGAGTGCAAACAAATAGTCTGCAGATAATCCTAGATGTGTATAAGAGACAGATATATATATATATACAAATAATATCACTCCTTTCAATTTTAATAATTTTATCAGGTGTAAAGAACTGTGTATACAACAAACAAAACAGACAACGGATGAGGAGGCAAGTATGTTCTAAGTAAGCTGACGAAAATAATCTTTAGAGGATAATGAATGCATGAACACTTCCATATTTAATAAATATAGGCATACTGACAAATCATTATTGATTCATCAGTTACAGTAGTGCTCAAAGTGCTACAGAAGGAACCAAATATTACCGTGAACCTTAAAGCTATCAGAATAGAACAACTAAACACATCACAGCACCGTTTACAGTCAATTTGAGGTAGTTATAATTTAACTGTTCCCCAGTTATCCCTATGTGTAAATATACATTTTAAAAACCTGATTCTAGGATCACTAGTTTAGCCGAGTGACAAGGCTCAAGGGGTTATGTGCGGCCTTCAAATTGGGTGACATTATTTTAACACAGTTTTACAAATTCTGTTCACCCCAGGTACTGAATGACTGGCGTGAAAGGGGTCTGTTGGTTTCACCCAGAAACTGTGGAATTTTATTTAGTTATCTAATATAAAATGATTATCGTTCAAACATTATTTTATATTTTGTCATCCCGATAAAGTCCCTTGGTTTGTTTGCTCGGCTGCCTTTATATATCGGGGCTGACGATCATTCCTGGTAATCTTTTTCAAAATAAATACAGTACTCCTGCTGATTTTTTTGTTTTTGTTATACTTTTGTGACCAGCGCTGTTGTAGGTGGTCATGCCTTAAAGTTTTCTTAAAACTTATTATGACCTCCATTACATGAAAACCTCGCATCATTTAGAATTTTGTTAATTTTAACTAGAATTTTTAATTACTTTTTTGTAATTTGTAATTTTATCGTGTGATAAAATAAATGAAACGAAACGAAACGAAACAGTAAGGTGCAAAAACAAAAGCCATTAGGATGAGAAAAAACAAATATACAGAATAACTTCTCCTTAAAATTCTGTAGCTCAAAGCTTAGAGGAATAAAATATTATTTTCCTCCATACTCAAAACATAAAAAAACGACTACATCTACAGAAAAACATAACAACACATTACTGATACATTTTTATTTGTCATACGTTATAAAGAAAAACTGCACCTATGGAGATGAAGACGTTAGATGGTGCGTGTACCATAGCAAAGTCTACTACTTCAGTATATAATAATCTCGTGAATGATACTAATATTAATGTAATATAGTTTGATAAAGACGATAATATGACTTCTGCCATTACTTAAATCAAACACACCAAGGATAACTCGAAATAACAAATGTCAGAATAGGCCTACTTATTTACAGTTTGGTCAATCTGCTGGTAAATTGGAAAACTTGGGTGTTAGCTGTGTCGAGTGGCAAGGCGCAAGGGGTGTCAGACGTCACTCCGAACACATGGGTCACAAAAACTATAGACAAAATGACATTCAAATCAATATTTTTGTCGCTTTAACACGATTTACTTGTTAAAATAGGCATTCTTCACAATGTGATTGTACCGTTGATGATCATTTTCTTGAATTTACTACTTGGTATTTTCTTTAACGTAGAGCATTGTTCAAATTTCAATTCAAAATAAGCATATTTCAGCATCTTTTGATGGTTAACCTACCTATATTTTTCCTTCGGCAACATGTTGCTACAAAACCAGGAACCACGAGTCCATGTTCACTCACTCTTTTTCTCATCTTCCATTTTTATAAAAAGAACTCTTGACAATTCAAGTGTGACATGTTGAACTAACATTGCCTCTTCATGATTTCCTTTGTACACACCGACGGAATTCTTGTCATACAAAGTGTTTCGGCTCTATCATCTTTAAAACATTATGATTGTTGTCCAGACGTGTTTTTTTTTTACACATGGTTCCCTCTGAAGCTCCTAAAAAATGTAGTTTCATACACCACAACATGTACCCTAGCTTCCACCATATTTTATTTTTAACGTTGAAATGTGTTAAAGGAGTTAAGTGATTAAATGTTATTTGTACTGTAGGTTTCTATGAATTGTTGAAGCAAAAACCTGGAGGAGGTAGGTTTTTCATACTTTAAAGTGCCTACATTAAGCTTAGTAATAGTAACCAACTGCTGTAATAGTAACCAATACTTTAATAGTAGCCACGCCCATTAAAAAAAAAACAATCGAAGGATAGTAACCCAGGGTTATTATTAAAAAATTTACGGTATTTTGGTGTAAAATTATGACATCGGCATCATGCCTATATAGACACATCACACTCAATTGATAGTGTGGCCAGAGCTTTAAAATATGTTCTCGGTTCTTAAGCTACGTTCACACCAAAGCCCGGATTCGGTCCGGTGCCTGGATAAAAAAAATCTTGAAAATGGATTTAGTGTTAAAGAATAGGACCGTTCACATTAAATTCGTACGATTTCCAATCCAGACTCCGGATCCGAAGCGATAGAACTGAGAGCCATTTGTTTCAAATTGTAGGTTTATTTTTTCGTTAGACCAATCAGCCACGAGCATGAATGACCTCTCTATACGTTTTCCGTGCGAGATGTAAACGCAGCATACATTCAAAAAACGTAGCATCTCTCGAATTGTTGTCCGAGTTCCGGTAAGGATCCTGGCTTGCGCAGTTTTAGCTTTATAGGTTTTTGATAGACTCACCTGATTTTTATCCATGCTTCTGTTCCAAATTTATCTTCAACAAGCGACTTAACACATTGGTTGATGAACCCATACTGAAACGACGAAAAATATTAAAATTATTATTAAGCAATTATTATTCAGCAACAGAACTTTCATTATGTGCTGTATATTTTACTTAGTGGCATCCAAATTATTTAAGAGTGGTAAGTGTCAACGTCCCATTTAAAGGACAACGTTGAATATAAAAATTTAGTTCTTATCATATTATGATGTGTTGTATTTGTAACAACACGTATGATAACGTGGCAGCACATAATATAGCATGGCAAACACGCATCTTACTCGGGGAACGTTCGTGCACGTGGGTTCTCGAGTTAATTCACGAGCCACTGGTGTATAATTCAGTTTGATTGCGTCACTACTAACATCTTTAGTAGGCAGTCTAAACGAAATTCTACCAGGAGCATGCCTGAATTTCGTGCAAAAAAGAAAGTAAAATTGTCGAACACTAACACTTAAACCATTGTTTGAGGTTATTACATTTTTTTCCTTACTATTTTCTTTATTATATGTAAATATTTATGACAGTAACGCGTATTTCCGTAATTTAAAAAAAAATTGTAATGTTTTGAAAAATTTAAGTGTTGTAATAAAATACGGTGTAAAATGCATCGGAATGCCATCTAAAATTATTAAGTGATTGATTAAATGGGTAATGGAAATAACAAATGAATGAGTGATATTATGAATGAACGAACGAACCAACGAACGAACGAATGAATGAATGAATGAATGAAAGAAAGAATGAATGAAGCAAAAAAGTTCAATCGAATGAGTGAAGGAATATATGAGTAAAATAAATAATGAATTGTATTTATAATAATAATAATTATTATTTTTTGGCATCACAATTAAGACATGTTACAATATTTCCAGGAAAGAGAATTTTTATTATATTTTATTTTAATTTATTTCAATCGTCCAACAGGAACTCTTCGTTCCCACTTACAGGCGAAAATTGTAATAAAAATATATAGAAAATGTAATATAATCAGTACAATAAATTCACAAGACATAAAAAAATAAAATTATTATTATTATTATTATTATTTATATGATTATAATTATTATTGCAGTATTTACAAATAAAATGTATAAATTACAAAAAAAGTATTTAAAATTACAAAAAAAACCCATTTAAATAACACTTAACATTTTTAAAATATTTACAAATAACACTAAAAACATACAGCACTAATGAGAAATATAATTATTAAGGTGACATTTAAGCATATTTAAAGAATTGGAAAAAAATATCAACTCCAGGACATTTGGTAACAAAATCATTATACAAACAAGATAATCGAGAAATATAACCATTTTTACAGACATTAACACGACAAAACTGAACAGAAAATAAATCCCGTTGACGAAGACGACGACCAGGAACTTTAAATGAGAAATTTGAGATAAGGTTACAATCAAACGAATTCACACATTTAAACAGGAACAATAGATCAAGGTACATACGTTTAGAAGACAAAAGTAACATTTAACTTTTTATTGACCGAGTCAATGATGGCATCATCGAAATTGATTATATTATTGTTAATACAATTGTTCATACGACGAGGGCCAAATGTTTCAGGACTGATGAAGCACAAGAACCTAAAGTGTATCCTGTCGATTCGTTTAGAGTTACTTTTAGATATTGAATTAAAAATGACAGAACAAAAATCTAAAGATGGTCTAACCAGTGTGAGATAAAGAAAACGTTTTGTAGGAATATCAAAAGATCTACAATTGCGCCACATCATTCCCAAGACTCTGTTGGCCCTCGCCGTAATAAAATTAATATGATAAGTTAACGTTAACCTCGAATCAATAAATATACCAAGATCTTTATGATAATCTACTTTAATGAGTGCATTGCAATTGATTTTATAGTCATATTTCAAAAGATGTTTTTTCAATGTAATTGATAAAAACTTGTCGGGATTTAGTATCATACAAGACGCTGAGACGCCCAACGGTACAACGTGTCCAAATCTTCCTGGAGCCCTCGAGCATCCTCGAGCGAAGAGATAGTTTTATAGAGTTTAAGATCGTCAGCATAGAAGAGGCTCTTAGAGTGTTTGAAAAGAGGAATAAGATCATTGATGTATATATTGAGAGTAAAGGCCCAAGGATAGAACCCTGTGGAACACCTGAAGTAACATTGTGCCATTCCGATGATGAACCTTCGATGACGACTCTCTGCTGCCTACCATTCAAGTAAGAAGTGAACCATGAAAGTAAACTACCACGAAAACCAAAATTGTGTAATTTGTGAAGTAGCAGGGCATGCTATCCAAATGCTACTCATGCAGTCAAATGCACGTGAAAAATCTGTATAAATTACGTCACATTGCTTCTTACATTTTGATGGCTTCATAGGCTGGTACATGTAAGGAGACACGCAAGGTTGGTCTCACAGGACCTACCGGACATAAAGCCATGTTGGTGATCAGCAATGTAAGGAGCAATGTGAGGATAAAGAGAGATATATACGATACGTTCGAAAACTTTGGAAACGGTCGGCAGAAGAGAGACAGGTCGGTAGTTATTAACATCGTCCTTAGGTCCTTTCTTATGAATGGGAACAATGTTCGAGCGTTTCCAATATAAAGGAAAAAATCCAGACCGAATTGATTTGGTGAAAATGTTATAAAGTGGAATAGACAAAGAGTCGGAACATGACCTAAGGACGATGTTACTAAGAGGGTACCATTCTGAGGCCTTATGCTGCTTCACGGAGCTGAGATGAGCACAGATATCAGAGAGATTAATAGGAATAGTGTCGAGGGTGCTCGTAGGAACCTCAGGAAGGTCCGGAAAGCCAACCGATGGGTCATTAGCGTCGCTAAAAAAGGAAGAAAAATGATTAATAAAAATATTAGATTTCGCCTGAGCAGTATGCGCACTTATGTTGTTGAGTTTAACACACGGTGGTATATTTATACACTTGCGTTTACTACGCATCCAAGACCAGAATCGTTTGGAATTAGTTTTCAGTTCTTGAGATATTTTTGCCAAAAAAGAATTATACTTTTGCCAGGTCATTGCTTTTAATTCCCTTCAGGCCTTTTTAAACGCTGCCACATTTTGTGTAGAAGCACATTTTTTCTTTTTTACAAAACACAGAATGGGCATAAACCCGAACAAAAAACTTGCACTCTTATCCAACATCTTAACCATTTTCTCAAATTTAAAACACTTAATCAACTACGGTACTAAAAATTACATTAAAATAAATCAAACTTATAAACAGTTATAAACAGAAGTTATAAACAAAAGAATGTGTTAAGGACTGAATAAAATAAGCAACAAAGATGAGGGTATTATTGATCCATAACAATTAACTAACTTAATTAAATTAATAAATATAACGTAATGTTTGAATCATAAAAGACCACCTATAGCAAGCGAACGGATAAAATCGATGCATTTTTAGAGTTTGTTGGCCACGACAGGAAACGACTTAATAACCGTCCACTGGTATTAGGCGGCATCAATCATTTAGATCAGTCGCTGTGACTAAGCTTGAGTCTGCATAATTCTCCTGCTATTGTTATACAACCGACGTGCTGTGCTGTTATTTTGATTTTAGCGATGTATCTTATTTCTCCTGTATCATGCAGTAAAGTGACCAGTAATTTTGATTTGACTATACAAATCTTAACAATGTTAACATTAACCTTATATACACGAGCTAACAGTCTTCGCATCATATTTGTGCTTAGCTCCATCACAGAAACGTTTCGAAATTATGCTTAAAGTAAATTAGATGTAATTAGTAATACGTTAATGTAGGCCTATATACGAATACACGATCTGTGTAGAATATATCACAAAACTAATGCGCGTATTAAATTGGAAAAAAATGGAAACCATGAAGATTACAGACGAGTATATCCTGGCGGTTGAGGCGTTGTCAAGTTCCTCCTCTGTTACTTTTCAGTATATAGTATAATACATTTTAAACGGTGAAAAAAGGAATCTGCAAGTGTGACAAAATGTCCACAACTGGTTTCTAACCTGGTACATTTTGCTGTCAAAGCAAACGCATTAACCAGCTGGGCCATTGACGATTGCGATGGTGACCGCAGGACGAATATCTCTATTGTCTGCAATAGGCCTACATCAGTGACTAGTGCTGTCCAACTATGCATGCGCAAGAGTGCGAAGAATAAGTTGCTTTAATCAGATTTGAATTCCCAACAAGTCCTCAATGGCCCAGTTCATTAAGGCGTCTACATAGACAACAGAAGGTCCTGGGTTGGAATCCCGGTTGGGAAAAAATGTATATATAAATATAGGACTTCATTCGTTGAAAAGCTACAGGGTAGCCTACGATGTTCTATCATGTTCCTTATTAAACACTGTATATGTACCTTTGATGATTTATATATATATATATATATAACTCATCATTATATATATATATAACTCATTTGTTGCTAGTAGCTGACCACAACTAACCTGTTAATGTTATAGAGATACCGTATTACTCATGGTAAAAGGAAAGTATGTCTTTCCTTCATTTTCTTCAAACTCAACATCAATATTATTAGGCATAGTTAAATTATGTAAGCCTATCTACAAACCGAAGACCAAACAATTAAAAACCAAATATATTTTAAATTAAAGGAAAAGCGTTTGATAGACACCCGTTAGTACCTATAAAGAAGTTAATTAATGAGTATGTGGAATATATATTCGAAAACATCGAATAACGCGGTCATCAATCCAATACGGAGTCATTGAATTGCATATGAAGAAGAAACTGAACACCACTAATTTCAAATGTTCAAAAAACGGCTTCCTAAAAAACACAGCAAATATACACTGACAGGTGAATAATTCTGTTCCAAGCAGCCTAATATTAGCCAGATTTATACATAATAGCATCTTATATACCGACAGTTATATAGGGTTCATAATAAGAATACCAATTATAATAATAATGAAAAAAAGACAACGACAATGATGATGATGATGATGATGATGATGACAATTATCACCACCAGATCATGATTAAGATACATGATGA